GGGGAAAAAAAAAAAAAAAAAAAGCAGGGAGGAGTCAGAGCAGCTCTGCATGCACACCAACGGGGACGCGGAGCCGCCACGCCGGCTCCCGCAGGGCTGTTTCTCTCCAATTCGGGAGGTTTGCTCCGTAATTCTTAATGCCAGAACCCCAAGAGACCGGCTCGCGTGCCCACCCAGCTCAGGGCACAGAGGGGCAGCCCAAGGTGCCCCGGGGACCCGGCATCACCTCAGGGAGCCGCAGTCGCGGGGTCCCACAGGCCACGGCAGCGCCAATGCTCCCCGTCCCAGTCCAGCCCCGTGCCCTCCCTCTCTCCCGCCCCAAACACCGCCAAGGGCAGGGCTTGGAGGAGCATCCAGCACCCCAACTCTGCTCGCCAGCTCAGAGGGACCAAGGCAGGGTAACACGCACCGAAAGCGAGGGTGAGACGGAAAACGGGGAGCGGGGGGCATAAAAACGTGGACACTGAACTCAACCCCAGCAAACAGGGATGGGAGGGGAGAAACCCACAATGAGGAGCAACACAGGAGATGACGAAGGGACACAGTGACCCCAAGAGCTCCCAGGACGCGGGGGGGGCAGCCCCCACGCCTTCACCGCTCCAGGTCCCTGCAGAGCTGGCAGTGCCCAGGGCTCTGCACCGGCACCAGCTCAGCCCAAAACTCTCCCCGGGGCTCTCCCAGCCGCCCCGCCCCGGGCAGCGGCACTGGGACACGGGAGATTAAGAGGTTCACAATGGAGCTACAACCCCAGAAAAAATCCCGTTAGCGCAAGCGGGAGGAGGATGCACAGGCTCACGGGCACCAGCTCAGCTCCCTTGGAGGCCCCCCAAGGCAGGGTAGCAGTGTCCCCTCCCAGCTGGGCACAGAGATGACCCAGGACCTCCTGATCTCCCTTCCCTGGTCTCCTGCACCAGGGCAGAGCCACCCTGAGGACAGTGGGGACAGGATGCCACCAGCCAGGGCCTCACTGGAGCTGATGGTGACTCATCAGCATCCAGACCCTGCTTGACCCGGGCTGCTTCCCCAGGGCCAAAACACCAGCCGAGCGCCTCGTCAGCGGACTTACATCCAATTTATCCCCATGCTCCCCCCCAGATGCCTCTCCACAAACGACAATCTTCCTTATGGGGTCTCAAAGCCAGCACTAGTCTCGTCTGGAAGATGCCAGCAGGGATACGGGAGGGCGCCAGGACACAGCAGCTCCCACCACGGCCCCAGAGCTAATGTCACGTCGCTAAAGAGCTGCTGACAGCGGCATCACTCAGCAAGGCCCACATGCCAACGAACTGGTGGCATGAGGGGTCCCACATCATCCTCTGAGGACACCAAAGCTACAATGGGATAATTTGAGGCTACTGAAGACCCGAGACCCTGTTTTGCACGAGCATCTACAGCACACGGTTGCTGGAGATGGTCCGAAGTGCGTTCCTCAGCACCCCAGCTGGGTCAGAGAGCTTCTCCCACCCCTGTCCTGAACCACCGTCAGGCAGTTGACATTTTTCATCCCAAAGACAGATCCCGTGGCTGCGCCGACCACCCAAAGGGCCGGGAGCACCTCGGGATAACAGCCCAGTGTGGGTGGGAGCTCAGCCGACCCCCCCACAGTCCCTCTGAATTCGCTCCTCTCCTCCAGAGGCTTCAGCTGAGCAAACAGCTACCAACAAAAACCCTGGTGCCAACCAGGAGGCCACTGCACACAACCCATCATTAATGATTTCATTATGTAAATAATGAGAAACGGGTGTTGCTATTCTCTGACACCAGTCTCCATGACACTGCAACGTGTGTCGATCCTCCGGCCCAATCTGCGCGCCAGCATCGCCACAAAACACGTAGAGAGAGATGCCAGCACCCCCGGGGAGACAACGCGCTCCCGCCCCGCGTCCACCAGCAAGAAACTCTGATGACAGACCTGGAAGTGGAGGATGATTGTCCATATGAGCCCCAGGGTGAGCTTGGGGTTGCCATCCGTAATGTCGTCATTGCGGATGTTCACCAGTTTCACCTGGAAGAGAAACAACAGGGTCAAAGATCCCCATCAGCCTCGCCCACGGAGGACACGTCCCTGACCACGCTGTCCCCAGGGTCACCCCGAGCACTCCCCAGCAGGGAGTGGACACGCAAGACCCCAGCATTTCCCAACAAAGCAGCGAGGCCGCCCTGTGCTGCAGCTCGGGAAGGAAGAATTTTTCACATCTCTAGCACTCTCCATTCAGAAGTGCTTTCCCGGGGCTTAATGGCTTTATTTCAGCTCACCCAGAGAAGCGCCTCGTCCCCGAAGCCCTCAGCACTACTGCATAATTTAATAGCTACAGACCACAGCACAGTTAAAAAAGGATGGGCAAGCTTTATTAATTCCCTCCTGGGTTCAAAACCAAGCTGCTAACCAATCAGCCCTAACAAAGGCAGGGACACCAGCGCTGCCCTCACCGAGGGTCCTCACCCAGCACCCACCAAAAGCACCCGTCCTGGCAGAATCCGGCCCCACGCAGTCCCAGAGCTGCTCCCCCCCCGGCTGCTTTGCTCTGGGGCTGGTTTAAATGCACACGCAGTCCCTGAACTGCTCGGAGATGCAGCACCAGAAGCACCGGCCTCGATGCTTCCAGCAGATGCAAACAGAAGTGGTGCTGCTCCCGCTCTGCGTGCAGCCACGTTCCCCAGAGCTGCTCCTGCTTTGGGTTCCTCTCCCCCCCGGGGGACTCCCCGCTCCCCAACACTCAATGGGACCCCACAATCAGTCTCTAGCAGAAGCGTCTGGGGTAAGATGTCGCAGCAAGGCCGCTGCCACCAGGCCATCACGCTTCAAAGGAAGAAAACTGTTTCATCCAAGTAGAGAAGCAAGCTCCCAGGAGCCCCCTGGCAAAATGTCTGTATCAGGGGGCTGGGGGGAAGGAGGGGGG